ATATATATTACATGTTGATCCTGTTACTTACAGTAGTTTTGTATGTCCCACTGTGCTTAGCCTGTGAGTGTCAGAGTCCTGGCACACTGGAGCTGGACAAGGCGTAGAGATCATCTGTTCCCATGGATCCCAGGGAACTCATCTGTATGTAGAGAAGTAACTTGTTCCTGCTCATTTGGTTTCATAGACATGTCCCATGCCCTTTGATCTGACTTTATGTTTATTACAAACACTTTTGATTATCAGCATTTTGTTAGGTTTTTCAGATAAAGCCATGCTTACAAGGGATGCTGCAGATCAATATGATAGTGAGTTGTATACCTGTTGGGATATATTCTAAGAAGTGTGTGCTTGTGTGATTTTATCATTGCACCACTTCAGAGAAAACACATTTACAAACAAAAATGCCTGCAAGGTCACCAGGTGATAAAATTTCATGGGACCACTACAGTCATAAGCCATCCGTGGGCTATGACTATAAATTCCTGATGCAGAATAATTGCTAATAACCTCCTTTACCAAGCAGAGGGAAATTAATCATCAGCAATTAATTCTCTTAATTAGGAGAGTTTAAATCCTAGAGTTCTACAGGAATGAGAGCTTTGTTTTAGCCGTAAAGGAGACTCAGTCATCCACTGTTGGAGAACCAGTGACATGTTTTGAATTATTGGGTAGATGAGCAGAATTTGGAATTAGAAATAGTAACTCCTTTTTCACTTGGCAGGGGCTTTTATGGATGAATCTGCCTGAATGGAAAATTATTCTAAAGCTCAGAGCTTCTGGTTATCTGTTTTTGTTTGTTTATTTTTAATAATCTGTAAGATTTGTTGTCCTCCGATGCTACTTAGCTTGGTATGAAGTATTAACTGTTAGCCTTGATGAGATAATAGAATCATACAGCTGAACTGATAGTTTGTTATAGGTTTATTAAGAAGTGGGCAAAATTGAGAATCTGTCTTTCATTGATTTGTGGAAGACTCGTTTACAAGCTAGTTTGAACCAAAATTATCACAGTAAACCATATAAGTTAACCAATTAAATCACAGAGGCAGTGGAAGAATAGGTTTGTTATATTACACATACTCATTTCTTGATGAACAGATTATTTAATACTATAATTCTGGAAGGCTGGGATGTGGATGACTTACTGGAGTATTCCTACTTACATGTGGACAGCTAATAAATTCTGTCTGATAATATATATGTACCTGTTCTTGTGATTGCTTGTGCATAGTTCTATGCTATTTAGGTGTAGGAATTTTTTAAGGGCCCAAGATGCCATCTCATTCTGAATAAAATTCCTGCTTCTGTAACAATAACTGAACAAGCCCAGTAACCCTTCTGTGCCTGCTTCCCCCATCCTCCTTCTTGTACAGCTGCATCTCTGAAGGACTCAGTGGTTGGCCACTCTGGTTGATTATGAGCATTTCCCAGGATTTGATTATTTTGTCTGGGAAAGACTACTTACCGCAATCAGTTCTTGAATTTCTGTGCTGAGCTTCTGGGATGATTTCAACTCTCCCACGTAACCATGACCTAAATTTGCTTTATATTTAAACGTAGAAATTTTTTCTTCTTATACTTTTGATAGTAAATATAAATTATATGATTGAGATTAAAATATGTTCCTAAAAGAAAAGTAAACAGAAATACAGTTTGTAAATCATTACAACTCTATTTTTATTAGATTTATTTGGATAAGGAGTGCCATTAGTGGAGTTTCAGAAAATAAAAATTCAGCAAACTAAATTTTAGATTCAAAAAAATGGAAGGAATTATAGAACATTGATATCTTCCGTGTAATATCTTTGTTTTACATTTATCTAAGAATTCTTGGATTTTTATCTTCTTTTAACCATGAAAATGTTTGAAATTCGAGTTGTGCTAAAGAAAAGGAAAAAAATTAAACTTCTCTCTTTCTCTTTAGGTATTCTAGAAAAATGTTGATTACTAAAGCCAAGTACCACAATTTATTTGAAATTCCACCATCATTAGCTTCTATGCCAACGAGCTATGAGATGCTTTTATATTTATGTTTCTTTATTAGAAATGATAAGTTCCTTATTTGCAAAACATCATATATATGTTCTCTATATTGTGAGCTCTTAAAGGACTTGGCTTATGTCTTATCATCTGTGACTGATAATATTAAGTCAAATATAAATTAAATGTCTGCTGAATTTTTAAGTTGGAAAGTATGTGGCAAAACACACTCTCACCATAAACTATCTAATAACATTTTTTAGAGCCTCAAGACTGACTTTTTTTTTTTGGTACCGGGGATTGAGTTCGGATCCTTGCGCTTGCAAGGCAGGCCACTGAACCGCTGAGCTAAATCCCCAGCCCAAGACTGACTTTTGACCTGGTCCAGTGGTAGCCTGGGCAAGCACATTAGGCACTACTTGTTTGCTATGTTAGGATATTAGTCTAAAACAAAGTAAAGGCCAAATACGCAATGCTTCTCAGTGCCAAGATCAATAAAATACAAAAAGGTCTTCTGTAACTAGAGCCAAGTTCAAATGTTTAATGTGTTGAAAAGCCAAACAGAAAGGCATGAAAGAGTGGTTCTAAAAATTTCCAGATCAATGACTGGCCAAATATATTCTGATTAATTGACCTGAAGATTTGGAGGAAGTTTCACATATATAAAACAGCAGAAGCAAATGGGCCATACCCACCTTCTTGTAGTATTTTAGGGATATGATTTTATTAGTCAGAGCTCCAGATAACAGCATCGGTACTTTTAATGCTGGGTAGTTGAGTTTGCCAATGAGACCCTTTTTAGGGATTGATTAAAGCCAAGGGAAGTGATTAATAGAAGAACCCTGGAGCCATGTGTGCCTGTCACATTTCCTCGAAAATAAAGCCTAATTGGAAATAAGCCTTAGCATGATTTTTTTTAGGATGCTTGTAATATAAGCCCTACCACAAAAATAAGCTCCAGTTAAGATCGTCAGCCAGACAGATACATTTAGTATGCTGTTGCACCACACAACGGATGTATTGAATTACAAAATAATATATATAGCTAAATATAGGTAAATAATATTATTGACATACTTAAATAATAATATGTTATAATTTAATATTTGTAAATACTCAACCATGTGCCTTTGGACAATAGGTAAATACCTATGTAAACAGATGGCCGTGAGACTTATTGTCAAAAGACCAATTGGAGTGCAAAGTGCACGAATCATATGCACACCTGATAATAAATGGATGCAGTTATGTCTAAGATGTGTCTTCATAATTCATCTTGTTGGGTGTGGTAATGATGCACTAGGGCAGGCTATGTGGATAAGAAATGCTCATTTAAGGAGCTCCCTAGTACTGGATATGAGAGATTGGGGCCAATAGTAGACAGAAAATGGAGTCACAAGAAATTCAAGCTGGAATTTGGGGTTTGAAGAATTATGACAGTGTTCCAGAAGGTGACGACATGACTGTATTTAAATAAACATAGATTTTTATACATGGGTAAATGAATAAATGTAGATTATCATACATGAAAAAATAAGATGCCTTGTGAAAATAAGCCCGATTGCATCTTTCAGAGCAAAAATTAATATAAGACCCAGTCTTATTTTCAGGGAATTATGGTAGCTACTTGGAAGGCTGAGGCAGGAGGATCACAAATTTGAGCTCAGCATGGAAAACTTAGACCTGAAATAAAGGTTGGAATGCAGCTTAGAGGTGGAGTGCCCTTGGTTCTCAGTCCTGACAGGAAAGAATGAAAGAAAGATGGAAAGGAAGGAAGGAGGGAAGGAAAGGAAAAAGAAGGGATGGAGAAAGAAGGAAGGAAAGGAAGAAAGGAAACAAGGAAGGAAGGGAATTTTTTTAAAAAAGGAAACGGGTTTAGTAACAGGAGCGCTGTGCCCAACAGTCATTATCAGTACTGAATGAAAGCTTTGTGTAAGAAATTGTCTAACTTGCAACTTACGAGAGAGAGGGTCTTTTGAATATAAATCCTGACATCTGTGTTCTCTCACCCCTGGTCCTTCTGACAGGAACTCCCAGTGGCTGAGCCCAATCAGATGCCTTAGCAGGAGTCCCTTGGTTTTTTCTAAAAGTTGATTATTCCAGGCACAGAGCAGACTAGAAGCTGGAAAGTAGATCCACAGCAGCAAACAGAAAATAATTGGAAAGGAGGCAATGCAGTGGCCGGTGGGGGGTGTGTCAAAGTGGAATTGAGTAGTAAATTCATTTGATGCATGTAGTTCTCTCTATGTGCTGCATATCCTTGCAGGTGCTTGGGGTGAAGAGGTGAAAAAAATAGACTGAGACGCCTGCTCTGTGCACCTTTATTCTAGAAACAAGTAGACGATACAAGTAGTCACCATAACAAATAAGTACTTTTTTCAGTGTATTAGAAAATGTTGTGTACCAGAGGCCTGTGGACCTGACAGAATAGGGGAAGGGGCAGTGAGAAGGCCCCCAGGGGGGACAGACCTGGCAGGAGAGACAGGAGGAGGCCAGCAGAGTCAGAGAAGCAAGCAGAAAGGAAAAGGAACATGATGTCAGAGATGGGCATTGCAGGCTGCTCTAGAGTCCTAAGTGAGCCCATTGCTTTAAACAGCATTGACCTGTTTGACGTATGTTTTATAAGATTCACATTGGCTTCCATGTGAGTGGATTGCAGGAGTCAGGGATAGAAGCAGGGGAGTTTTCTGTGGAAGCCAAGCAAGAGATGGCACAGGGAACAGAGGAAAGAGTGAGGAGTAGTCTGATTCTGGGTGACTTTTGAAGGTAGAATCAGATTTGATTTGATAGATTTCAAGGAGAAAAGGTAAAGTTTATGTTGTTAGTTTTGTACCTGCTAGGTGAGATGTTGAAGGCTAGAGGGGAAGCAAAGTTTGGAGAGGTAGAATTGTTAATCTGAAGAACTAGATTCTGAAGAACTTGTTACCTGAAGAACTGGTAAGAGTGGTAGGTTAGAAAAAATTAAAAAGAAATAGAAAAATCAGAAGGCATGTGTGAACCAGCATTGGCAAGATAGTCTTAGAAAGGCAGAGAATGTTTTGTGATATGGAGACCTCTAGTGGACAAGTACATTGTTACCCTGCAGGGACTTCCCATCTCCAAAATACTCTGGAAAATATTTATGTTATGTCTTTGTTGGTTCTATTTTGAAACAAGAGAGAATGGATCATAAATAAGATAGCTATTTTTATACCTATGATGGATGGGAAATGTTATCAGTTTGTCACCTGAACGTTTTGAAGTGCGCATCATGCCAAGGGAGGTAAGAGGCTTAGACATGATAAATTCTAAGCCTGGAGGAGTCATTTGAGTCAAAATGGGCACTTGTGGGTGTGAAGAATATGAGACTGGAGACTGGAATAAAAGTAGAGGAAAGAAGTTGTGAAAAGAAATGTCAATAATTTGCCATTCAAGCTGCCATGTTTGAAATCTTGATTTTCAACTTGATTGCTTGAGGAATTAGTGAAGCACACTTCTGGGGGGTCTAGGAAGGTTATGGGCACACGGCCTTGGGAACTATCTGGTGCCCGGCCCCTCCTGTGCATCGATGTTTCCCCGTGTCCTGCTTGTCAGTACCATAAAGTCAGCTGTTTTGTTCCAGCCAAACCCTTTCATCCTGATGTTCTGCCTTGGAGCCAGCTGACCATAGACTGACACCTCTGAAGCTGAACCAAAATAAACCTTTAAGTTGGGGTGTCGGGCATTTTGTCCTACCAACAGAAAAGCTGACCAATACAATGTATTTACATGGCAAACAAGTGGATATCCTTTGTGACCATTAGATTACTTTCCCTCACCCACTGTTCCCTGTACTTCATTGCCAAAGTCAGAATTCTGCAGTGAGTTGTGTCTATGCCAGGATAGACAGCAAGTCTTAAGAATGAATCGTTTCCCTCTAAATGTCTCTTGATTTGTCCCCTTTTCTCTATTTCTCTTGCCTGTCCATTATTTCAAATGCCCATTATCGCTCGTTTGGACTATTTCAAAACTTCTTAAATGTGCTGTTTGCCTCTGGGTTTTGAATATCTTCAATTCATTTTATGTCCTGTAAGTGTCTTATATGTCACATTTTGTTTGGTACCAGGGATTGAACTCAGGACCTTGTGTGAGCAGGCACAGTGCCACTGACCTAAATCCTTGGTCCTAATGTCACTTTTTGTGACTTTTTTTATAAGGCCAGAAGGAAGATAATGACATTCTGTATATGTATTTTGGGTACATTTCTTTTGGATACATATCCAAGAATTGCTGAATCCTAGCATATGAATATTCAGCACTAATAGATCCTACTGCCATTTTTCCAAAGTGAATGTGTCAAGTTTCATTCTCCTCATTGTATTCGAGAGTTCTGATATTTCACATCCTTGCCAATACTTGATATTTTCCTTCTTCTTTTCTTTCCCCTTTGTTTTTTTGAGGCAGAGTCTCCTTTGTAGTTCAAGCTGGCCTCAAACTCACAGCAATCCTCCTGCCTCAGCCTCCCAAGTGCTGGGATTACAGATACATGCCACCGCACCTGGCCAATATTCTCTTCTTTTTAATTAGCCATTCTTTCATGTTTGTGGTGGTATCTCATTTTAGTTTTTACTACTAAAATATTTTGCCATTAAAAATAGTTTTATAGGACCTAGGGACATAGTTCAGCAGTAAAACGCTTTCTTCACAAGTTTAAACCCTGGGTTTGATCCCAAGTACTGGAAAATAAAAAGATTTTATGAATTAATACCAATTTTCTTTGTTATCTTAGAAATATTTTCTTTCTCTAGTTGATGAAAATATTTCTGAAATTTCTGAGAGGAAAGGAATAAAGTGACTGGAAGTGTACAAGTTTTTATTCATTTATTAATCTATTTTTGTCACATTGATTTTACTTAAAATTCTAGACGTATTTTGCTCTGAAAGTTATGATAGAAATGTGAAGTAATGCACAAACCTGAAAACTAATAAAAAAGACCAGCACTGCCTTAACTAAAGAATACACTGAACACCAGTATAAAAATAATAGAGATAGTAAATCAAAGTATATGAAATTTAACATACAGGATTATTCTTCTTACCTATAATCTTTTCACTCTTTTGCGATTAATTTGCTGATTTGTCTAGGTTAAGCATGTTCACATCTGTTAATGTTTTTGAGCAAAATGTGATATAGAAAAAATATAGCTGTTTATAATTTGGGTTCATATTTTAATGAGTATGACAATTTTCTGTCTCATTAAATACAAGAATGCTCATCCTTAGGGGAAGTGGGAAGGGAGGGGAAAGGAAATAAGGGACAATAAATATGAGAAAAGGAAAAAATGGAAACAAAGTCTTTGTAAATAGGGAAAGGTAGAGGGGATGAAAGGAGGGCAGGGGTATGGGGAAAAAAAATGAGAACCAAGATCTGTCATGTAAAGTCACAGTATCTCAATGATGTATGTAACTGTACTAAAAAGTACCAATAAATAAAGTCAGTGAAAAAAGAATGCTCATCTTTTTAAGCACATAATGAACTTTTCCATCCACATTTTCCTTTGAGGTCATTATATTGCTGTCACATTCATGTATTCTTCCAAAGTACAGGACAAGAATGACTTCATCTCTTTACTTAGCTTCTAACTCAGGATCACTTTGCAGTAATAGAAAAAATGTTTCGAGAATTATAGGATGGATACTGGTTTGGAAATTGTCTATGTCCGTAACTGCCTGAGATATTTTTGAGGAAAACATCACTTAACCTTTCAAGCTTTAGTTTCCTTAACTGTAAATTAAACAAAAAGAATATCTATCTTAATCTACAGTACCACCGTCAGGGCGATAAATACATTAGCAGCATGGATTCTTTTCTCTTCTATGTTAATAAAATTTATCTTTTAAAAAATATGTGGTGTAATGTTCTGTCAGATGTTCCTGTGATTGTAAGCTTCATTTTTCTTCCAGGGTCGACAACTTTGGCTTGGGCCTTTTACTTCGATCCAAGCAGATAAAACGGATGATCTCTTCATATGTAGGGGAAAATGCAGAGTTTGAACGACAGTTCTTATCTGGTGAATTAGAAGTAGAGCTGACACCTCAGGTGAGAAGATTTCTTGGCATTTCTTTTATGATACTAGTTTATTTATATTTTCCCTAAACATTTCTCTGTGTAGGACAGGATATATTTTGCCAGACCAAGAAATTTTGCTCATAAGCCACACCTGATGGTTGTTAGAGGATTAATAATTTATGCTACTGTATAATGGGAAAGGAGGTAGAGTAATTCAAGTAAAAATATTTAGGGTGCAGTGTAAACTTTTGTTTGACACAACAGTGTATTTTATGTCAGAAGGAAGCAAAAGGACTTGCTAAAATGCTTGAAGACTGTCCTAAAAGTCAGTTTCTATAAATCAGAGTGGAAATTTGTGAGTGCTAGTGATCAGCTCTTGCTGAGACACATCAGGAGTGTGAAGACCCTGGAGGGTAAAACTGGCTCCCTCAGAATTAGTACTGGGGTCAGAGCCCAAGTCCTCAGGGAACTGGTGTTATTACAAAATAAGTAATTACAACAGTCAGCCTGGGAGATTTTCATTTTTTTTCTACATCATTTCCTAACTGATGAATAATTTGTCATAGGAGAAGGCAAACATTTTAGTCATGTGGGGGCTCTACTTGGCGTGCTCTGGCTTCATCTCTGAATCCAAGCCTCCCCCTCTACTTGAGAATAATATTACCTCTGACTTTACCAAGTTGCTGCTATTATAATGTAACAAAATAAAAAAAAATGTTTTGGTGATTAAATCTAGAGTGTGCTGGTCTAGAGAAAGCACTTATAGGGCACTGTGCTTTCTTAGGCTTCTCAATATTACAGTCACACCTGACCACTCTACAGCATTGTCACTGTGCTTATCATTACACTATGTTTGATACTTACTCGATTTTCACTTTAAGTTTTGTGAATAAACAAAGATATGCCTTCCTAATCTGCTTAGGCTGGTGAAAACAAACACAGATTGGTTAGCAATTTTTTCCCCATGGTTCAAGGTCAAGGTGCCGGGCACTTTAGTTACTGGTAACAGTTCCCTTCTTGGCTTGCAATGGCTGACTTGCTCTGTGTCTTCACATGACAGTGAGGTGGGGGAGAGAGCAGTGTGTGAGTTCTCTGATGTCTCTTCTGGTAAGGATGTTAATCCTGTCAGATCACGGCTCCATATTTATGACTTCCTTTAACCTTATTTATCTCCTTATAGACTCTATTTTCAACTACAGTCACATTGAAGCTTGGGGCTTCAACTTGTGAATTTAAAGGTTACACAGTTTGGTCCACAATGTACTTTTTTTTTCATATTATAGATGGAGACAGCTTATCTTTTACATTGTGGAACTACTGAAAATTAATCTCTCAATTATCCTTTGTATATTTTGCATTATCCCCTATTTTGTCAAAGGACAATGTAGGAGAGGAACTTCCTTAAGTTTTCTTTTTCTTCCATTAAGTTAAAATGAATTGATGAATTAATTGATGACTCTCTGCTCAACTTAGTGGTATATAAATAAACAGTGGCTCTATCAGCTACTTTGTAGCTGGGTTGAGGGAGAAGTGCCAATGAAGTTGAAGGGATCACAACTCCTTTAGGGGTGAAAGTGGGTATTTGTGTTAGGTGCAGAGAAATTCGGTAGAAATATTCTACTTTCAGACTATTGCCCAATTGGTCAGAAAGAAGGAACAGAATGTTTGGAGGCGGGGTCTGCATAAAAATATTTTATAGTAGAAGAAGTTATTGTAGTTGTTTTTGTGATTTAGTTGTTGAATGTTGTTAACTTAAAGTGCAACACAAAGTAGAGTCATCTCTGTCCATTATAGAGAACAGAGCACCAGCTTGTTGGAAGATTTCCTGTGATTCTGTAAGTTCCTCCTATGACAAAAGATTCCACTTACTTGGGTGACTCAATGTCTGAGCTCCCCACTGTCAGTCTCTTCTTTGAGTCAAATATTTAAAGGGCCCAGCTATTGTAGGTTAACACAAATATACTGTTAATATTTACATGGATTCTTTCTATTGATTAGCCAGTTATCCAGTAAAACATGATAGAGTAAGACCTCAGTGGCAGGTTTCAGTGTCAGGGGCTGTGTTGAGACGTGTTCAAGGGCAGAGTTCATGCCCAGGGAAACCTTGAGGGGACAGTCAGTTGGAGGTGGGAGAGACTTTATGGATCTTAAATTCACTAGAAGAGGGTGGTTGTCCTTAGGAAAGAAGACATTCAAAAAGAGAAACAAAGAAACTTCACTTGCAGGTTTGTTTACTGTGAAATAAAATGTGAAATAATCTTGTCTCTTAAAACCAATTTACTCACATGCATACTCTTTGCTTAATTTCAGCTAGATAATTTAATAGATCAAATATTTATGGAAATAGTTTAAAATAAGTTCTAAGATAAATTTGAGCTCTTACATTATTGAACTATTGTTATCAATGACGAAAAGATTTAGGCCATACCTTCATACACAGTAAGACAAAAAATTAGATGATATTTAAATATAGTAAATATATTTAAAATATATATATATATTAAAAAATATATATATAGCTAAAGTGACATAATTCAAATTTTTTTGTTTTGTTTTGGTTCTGGGGATCGAACTCAGGACCTTGTGCTTGAAAAGCAGGTGGCAGCACCACTGAGCTGAACCCCTGGCCCATATATTAGATTTGAAATTTGAGACGTCAAGAGACCATAGGGAGGTCTGGAAGCTGAAAGCATGACTAGACAAATAAGCAATTGCATTTTGAATGTGGACTAAGAATGGAGTAGTTGTCATGTAGGGATGCAGAAAACTAAAAAATTGATTTTCCATCATGGTGTTAGGAAAATATGCACATCAATCTCTAATGCTAGGTACTTCTTAGAATTCTAAGTCTCTAGAGAGTAGGGGACCATGTCTGTAAATACTGCTGTGTCCCCAGACAGATATGTGCTTGGTGAATTTTTACAGTGTCAGTTGATCGTTTGTAGGGCACACTTGCAGAGAGGATTCGCGCAGGAGGGGCTGGAGTTCCTGCATTTTACACCAGCACAGGGTATGGGACCCTGGTGCAAGAAGGAGGCGCACCTATCAAATACAACAAGGATGGCACCATTGCCATTGCTAGTAAGCCAAGAGAGGTAAGCCACGCATTCATCTGGGTAATGCCAGGATATCTCTTCTGCATGGGACCTGGGTGGGTGCACTGGGCAAAATCACTTTGGTAAGCAAAAGTGTTCATTTTCTTAAATATGTTAGGTGAGACTTGTAGCTGAAGTTGAGTATATGTAGTAATTAAAGTCACATAGAGAAGCCAGAATAAATACGAAGAAAAGAAGCTATATTTCATATATAATGTACTTGTAAAGACTAGTTAACTGATTTTATGTAAGATTTTAACAAATTTAGGAACATTTATGCTTGCTGATTTTGCTTATATAGAAAATAGAGAAGTTGATTCATGTGGAATTAAACTTTCATGCTCAGGCTCATCATCCTCATGTGACTAAAGAAGAAAAACAAAGGAAAATATAAGTTTGAAATCTTGGAAAACAGGGTATAGTTATAATCATATAACGAAATAGAGGGCTTGTATCATCAAGTTTATATTTTGTATCTTGAACAAACATGAGCTTTTCATTGACTAAGCAAATTTATTTCAAATGCGGAGTGGGATGGGACGCTATGTTTTTTTGAATGAAGCAGTTCCAGAGGCACAATTTACTCCATGTTTTATCTCTCTTCTGAGAAATTTTAAAAGTTTTTTATGTTTTTGGTTTTATTTTGCCACACTGGAGGTTGAACCCAGAGTACTCTGCCCGAGCTTCATCTCCAGTCCCATTCAGTCACTCAGTCATTTATTATGTGTTTGCGACCCATCATGATTCTGTTCACCTTGGGGTACCGGCACATACGTATATAGCATATTGATCCTTCTTACTCCGCATTCCCTGGCCCGCCTTTCCGTCTTCCCCCTTCTCCAACAACTTCACTTATGCATAAGGGGAGACCTCTAGACATACATGTAGATATTTGAGATAACTTTAAAAATTACACAGGCCAATGTTTCATGACTATATTTTTAGTACTTTTTCATTCTCCTTGTGCAGATGGCTGAAAACAGTGAACTATCAATGAGGGGGGTGGCTTGCAGAAATACTGAGCTTATATCTTTGAGAAAGTGAATGCAGTAAGTGAAGGAACCTTTGTGCCTCGAGGGATGCTGGCTCTGCCGTCTTGTTCTGGGCCGGTAAAGGGCCACTGAAAGTGCCTCTCACTCAAGTGTTGTCTCCAGCTGGGTCCTTCATCTGGAGCTTTGCCTTTCTGCTGAGAGTGACCTATATTGATTCAAACTTTTACAAGCATATTTTTTTCATATTCAGTCTTCCTTTTTCCTTTAATGCCTAATTAGATTTTTTTTAAATCTCTAGATAAAGGAGCCTAATTATGAAAATGAATCTTAGACATATACAATACAAGTACCCCGAAAAATCAGGTTAACACTTCGATAGCTTATTAGAAATGATAGCATTAGCTCGCGCTGGGAAAATATGATACACTGGAATCTTTTCTGGGTTCATTTATGCCTGGAGCTAGGTGTAGGAATCCAGTTGGTTTGTAATTTTGTCCAAATCCCCTAGGAATATGATAAATTATTCCTTGAAACAATTCTTCTCAGTGTTTTAGTTCCCTTGCTTCTGTTTGGAAAAGGAAGTGAATAAATTCCTTGGTTCAGTGGTATTTATTAAGCTCTCTCACTTTAGCAGGGAGGATTCTAAGCCCTCTGGAGAAATGGTGGATCTCCAGACTCAGTCTGCCCACCAGTGGAAGAACTGTCAGCGACTGACCAAACACCTAGTGTGTATGGTGGGAGTGCTGTGAGGAAGAGACAAGGAAGTCAGGGGCAAAGAGCACGATCAGTGGCCAGGCAGGTGGTGTTCCAGTGGGTAGTCAGGGTGTATTATTCACTTTCTCCTGGCTGAGAAATTTAAAGCAGGAGAGGTTTATTGTGGCTCACGATTCAGTCCATGTTTAGCTGGCTCTAAGGCAGAAATAACAGGGAGAAGGGCATGCCAGAAGAAAAGGCATTCAACCCGTGGCACCCAGGAGGCAGAGAGGGAAGGGAGGACCTGGGGACCAGAATGCGTTCTTCAAGGACATACCTATAGGGACCCACCTCCTTCAAGCCCCGCCTTCTAACAGAAAGTCAGCTATAGGGCACCTATGATTCAGTCACCTTCCAAACACATGAGATATTTGGGGAACATTTTAGATCAAAGCCATAACATTTCACTCCTGACTGGACAGTCATGCCCATCTCATTGAGCAGAATGCATTTAGGCCATCTTTGAGAATTGCCGAAAAGTCCAAGCCCAAAGTCTCTGAGACTGAAGGCAATCTCTTAGCTATGAACTTTTTTAAAAATCAAAAAGAAAGTTAAACATTTCCAACACACACTGGCATAGGGTAAACATTCCCATTTCCAAGGAGAGAAATAGGTGGGTAGAAAGAAATCAGACCTAAGCAAGAAAGAATCCTACCAGGGCAAATATTCAATCCTATAGTTCCATGTCCAGTGCCCAGAGTAATTTGTAGTGAGATCTAAGCTCTTGCTTGGGAAGCCCTGGACCTGTGGCATTGCTGGTTGTAGTCCACATGGCCTCTCTCTTGGAGCGACTTCTCTTACTGCCCCTGTCCTCAGAATATGTTCCTTGTTCCTGGCATCTCCAATTTCTTGAGGTCTCTACTGCACCTTTGTCTTTGCTCTCACATGTTCATACACTGCCCCACCAGGAGCACACTGCCTGACCTCTCAGGCCTTCCTCTGAAATCTGGGTGGACGCTTTCCATGTCCCTCTAACTCTTGCATTCTGCCTGTGTCTGTAAAACCAGAACCATGTGGATGTTGCCATTTTCTGATAGATTGCCTGTAGGGTATAAAAGAATCAAGCATACTACTCATTGGGATAGATGGGACACGGAATAATCAAAGAGCTCTTTTTGTCAGAGATGTGATACATTTGAGATGTCCAGGAGACCCAAGAGAAGGTTCACGGGGAGCTCCAAGTAGGTGAATTTAGAGCTGACATAGGAACTTTAAGGCACTGGCATATGACATTTAAACTCTTAGGACTAGATGAGGGACTTGGGCCTGCATGCAGATAGAGACCATTTCTTTGCCAAATAGATTGGGAAGAGAAGGAAGAACAGTAAATAAATATGGGGAAGTCCAGGAGAGTCTGATGATTTGAAATATCGCAATCAGAAAGATAAGAGCGCTTATCAACTAGCCTAAATAATGTGACGAGCCGGGGTAGTATAAGGACTGGAATTGACCAGTGAATTTGCAGAAATGGGGATCATTGGCAACACAAAGAGTGGTTTTTCTAGAATACAGGAAACGAAAATCTGGAGTAGATTCAAAAAAAAGAATTTAAAGTTGAAGAAGTAAAGACTGAAATACGCACCTATTTAAAGTGAATATAATAGTCTGTTAAAAGTAGTCCTTTTCCTCTTTTAAATTTTAGAATCACTAATATTCAGGGACATCTAGTGTGTAGACATCAGGAAGTTATATAATTGAAATATGAAAGTAGAGCTAATTGCTTGATTTTTCCCTGTGTTAGCAAATATTTACTTCAGTTTTCTAGGTCTGTATGCAAAACACTTCATTATCATCACTGGTGTTTAACAGTGAGGGTTTTTGAAGTATGCAAACTATTTTTTTAAAATGTTATATATTGATAGGCAGTTTATACATGTCATATTAATGAGATCTATTTATCATATACCAGGTTCATTGATATTTTATAGCAGGAAACTGGGGTGATATCTTTTAAAGAAGCTTTTATTTAAGGAAAAATTTATGTTTATTTATAATTTTTTTTGATACCATGGATAGAACTCGGGTCCTTGTGCTTGTGTGGAACATGGCAGCACCACTGAGCTAAATCCCTGGCCCAGGGAAAATTTATGTTTTACATCATAGTTTAAAAATACACGAGTCAAAGTTTCTGTTGAAGCATTTTCTGAAATGCACTTAGTCTGTTATTCCACTAGGGGGTGCAGTAGGAATGAGATTGAAGTTCCGTCTTCACAGGCTCATTCGGGTGGAAAGCCAGTGGCTGTTCTTCCCACTTTCCTTTGTTTTAATTCACAGAGACAAATCCCCAAGAAGAAAAAGGCAGAGTTTTGCTATATGTTCTGCTCTAAATTTCATGGTACAATTAAAAAGCAGTAAACATAAAAGTCAGTAACATTTCATTAAATTAGCAATCACAGAAACGGTATAGTAAAATAAATCTAGCATTCATATTAGCAACCGAAACTATGAAGTATCTGTGAATAAGTCTAAGAAAAATATGCAGCACTTTTATGGAGATATGATAAAACTATTGAAGGAGGAATGAAAAATTCAGTAAAAAAGAGGCTTATATTATGCTCATTGGTAGGAAGATCTCTCAAAACCAATTTACTGGCACTGTATATCCCGATTAAAATCCCTGTGGATGATTATAGATCACAGATTGAGGAGTAAAGGTGAATGGATTTCTATAACTATTTTATGTTAAAAAGCAGTACATAGACCATTTTGTGTAGCTTATATAAGTATTTTCTGGGGTAAAAAGAAAGAGGGACTATTTTTCATGTTACATACGCTACCTACACACACAAATAGTAAAATACTAACATAATCTCTCCTTTAGACCTGTAGAATTTAGTTCCTCAGATGCATCACACTTTCTGTCATCAATGTGCCTTTGCACAGTCTTTCACGAAGACTGTCTTTTCACAGTCTCTGTTGCCTCCTGTTACTCAAGAATCCCCTGTTGAGACTCCTCCCCTTTGATAACCCTTTCCTCATTAGCTTGTATTCCTACTTTCTGCCTCTGTCCCAGCACATATCGCAATCAAACCAGACCTATGCAGAAGCCTGACAGTGCTCTTTGTCTCCTACAGGTGAGGGAGTTCAATGGCCAGCGGTTTATTCTGGAACAAGCAATTACAGGGGATTTTGCTTTGGTGAAAGCCTGGAAAGCAGACCAAGCAGGAAATGTGATTTTCAGGTATTTAAGTGGTTTTTAAAAAGTGTTAATATATTAATGTACTAACAGCCATGTCTGTATTTCTAAGTTATGGTTATGAAAAAGATATCATAGTGAATTTAATATTTAAATATTCACTAAAACAGGCTTACAGTCATACACACCCATGTGCATGTTGTATGTATACACCCGTAAGTGCATGCAGGGCTGCTGCATGATGTACTTGTGTAGTCTGTGCTGATTGTCTGATATCCATGTTGTACTGTTTATTAAATATTTGCATCTATGTATCCTTGTACAGGGTCACATGCAATTATTTTTCCCTAGGTAGTTCCCTGTGTCAAGATCAGGTTTTTTTTTTTTGGTACTGGGGATCGAATTTGGGACCTTGCACTTGCGAGGCAGGCCAAGGGGCCACTGAGCTAAATCCTCAGGCCCCAGACCAGTTATTTTCTTAGATAAATGACAGTAATCCACACTTCTAATTTTGATATTTTTTATTTATATATATTTTTTAAAATGTCAAATGTGTTTAATATTTTGGAAAGATATTGCTAATAAGAATTTAGCTCAAGCTTTTTCTGGTTGTACTGATGTCTCCCAGGATATACTTATAAAGCTACTTTCTGCTTATCCTTAATAATGTTGAATTTTCATTCTCATTAGCCACAGGCTTAATAGATTTTTAATGTCTCTTGATTACCCTAAACTAAATTTTCAATATTTAGTGTCTTAGATTTATAGATTATATAATATATAGTTGAGTTTTTAAAATTTTGTAGTCTTTGTTCACATTAGAATTTTGCAAAATGTGTTGTCTTACCAAAAAACAAAACAAAACAAAAAACAAAATGCTGGACACAGTGGGACATTCCTGTAATCTCAGCATTTGGGTGATTAAGGCAGGACGAACACTGTGAGTTTGAGACCAGCTTGGGCTGCATAATGAGTCTAGTGAGACCTTGTCTCAAAAGGCCAAAAAAAAAGATGCATCAACTTGAGACCATACCAATTAGGTTAGAGCAGTCATTTTCTTTCTCATAATATTGTTATTGGCATTTAATTAATATTTTATCCTTAGCAAATGCAATCTTGTAATCACAGTTAAATTCTCAGTGGCACATCATGTCATTTTTGTTTATATTTGAATGACCTATGTGATATCAATACTCTAATTTCTTGAATTCAGCCAATTTTTAAAAGCATAGCTAATTTTGACCATTATAGGAAACATTTTATGTCATATCTACTTTATTTGACATGTTGGTGTGATGTTTGCAAATTTAGTTGCTTTCTAGAGAAGATTGATGAAAACTGTATAATAGCAAATGGAAATGAATGATTTAAATTTTTAAGTTTAAATTATTTAAATGAGTGAATCATTTCCAGGAGTTTATCCTGTGCTTCATTCCTTGGCCTTGGTATTTTGAGAACTGCACAAAAGCTGTTCTAAACTCTGCCTTTATGCTAGAGATTTTTATTATTTATTCTTGTTTGTTTGTTTGTTTGTATGTTGAGACAGGGTCCTACTATGTAGTTGAGACTGAACTGGAACTCACTATGTAGCCCAGGGTGGTATCGAACTCACAGTGATCCTCCTGCCTCATCCTCCCGAGTGCTGGGATTACAGGCATGCGCCACCACGCCTGGCTATGCTAGCGTTATTGAGCTTTGGTATATAATAAGAGTTCTCATCATCCAAGGTCAGGTCACTTACATTCTTAAGATACTGAATTTCTTCACACTGAAGAGACAACTGGTTCAGAGGTTTTTCTAGGCTTCTGTTTAAATGGGAGCTCCCTGGACTCCTTCTCTAGTCTCTGTACTCTTGGATCTTTTGATGCCTGAACATCAGGTGCAAGCCAACCCAGCAACTGGTAAAAGTTCTAGGATTCCTTTCTCAAGGACACTGCTGTTATTACCTTTGAATCGGAGCAAAACAAACAGTGGTGGCCTCAAAGAGCTAGTAAAACATGAGTGTGGTTGATGTCTTTCCATGAAAGAAATTGTTCAATTGACATATACTCCCAGAAGCAAAAACATTTTAATTTTTATGCTTAGGGGAAATGTCTTAAAGAGTTTAGAATGGCAAAACCATCAGCAAATTTGGTATAATACCTTCTTGAAATTTTTATACATCAGGGTCTGATGTGGGCGTTGTACTTTGAAAATTTCATCAAAAAATGGTTCTCCAGAATGATCTTTATAGGTGACTCACAAATTACCACTGAGGGTTCCATTTAATTTCAGCAATAGGCTGCTTTTAATAAAGTATGCAATTACTTTACTTTTTCATATAAAGCACTCACTACTTTTTCTTTTTTAGTGTTTTAGTGCCAGCACATTATGTAGTGAAATATTTAATTATCGAAAGAAATATCTTTGTTGAAAGATTAAGGGAAACTTGTTACAGAGTAAATTTTCATTCTACTTTTTGTATTTCAGCTATATGTTCAATATGAAAAATAGTGCCTGTGTCACTCAACCCCTTTAGAAAAACTATATAAATTGAATGAAGTGGCCATAATATTTTTAAAATTTATGAAATATCTGCAAAATTTCATTAATGAAAAGTATGATACACTTTAAAACAAAAAGATTCACAGATTCTTTGTTAATAGAAATTCCTTTAATCTATAACATTTTAAAGTCTAAAGGTGCTTATTTTTGTTTTTCTTTCTCTTCTTCCTTATTTCCCTCATGTCTGATAGGAAAAGTGCAAGGAATTTCAATTTCCCAATGTGCAAAGCTGCAGAAACCACAGTAGTAGAGGTAAGGGAAGAGGTTATTTCTAAATTTCTGCTGTTAATTTTTTTTTTACCTTGATTAATTCAGAAGAAAGTATAACAGTCTTTTTGTTTTCTGGACAATGATAGCTTTTTTGTTTAGAATATGAAGAGGTCCTATTTAAATATATAATATAAACACATTAAAATACTTGTTGTAATAGCAGCTTTCTGGTCAATAGGAACTTCACTAGGTTGCTCTCTGGAATTCTAAGCATGGGACCAGTTTATAAAAATCCTCTTGTTTTAGAATAAAATCATTACAAACTCCAGGATGAATTTATGTATAGCCATGTATCATTTGGCAGGTACACAAAGAAATGTGATTCCAAACAGTTTCATCACTGTGCATACATCATAGAGTGTATTTACACAAACTAAGGTGGCTACAATGTCACTATAATCTTATGGGACCACTATCATCATATGTGTAGTTGGCCATTGATTGAAAAGAGCATTACGTGGTACATGACTATATACAGAATTCCAGGAAAATAGTGAATTATATCAGAAGTTCATTATCTTGCTGAGGTTGATGCTGTTCATTCTTTAAGGGAGGAATTTAGCACAGATAATGGCTTTAATGTGGTTCCATTTGGATCAGTTGAATGTAGGCACTGATTCCTTTAGGCATTCCAGGATTGGAGAGAGGATGAATAATTCTAGAGCCTTCCCAGTGTTAAGGCTGAGATGGAAATAGGTGTTTAAACAAAAATGTTGGCATTTGGGGTATTTCATGTATTTGATTCCCAAAGGAGACTTCAAAATGATTCTCACCTTGTAGCTTTGAGAATTACCTTGGCACCCGACATTCATGGGAGTTTGAGATAGCTTTCCCTTGGGAGGACTCTATAGGAGCCTCCTTTTAGAACCAGAGAGAGAGTATCTATTCCTGATCTTTCACATGAGGGCAGTGTTGTATGTGACATGTTTTCATTCGTTTGCCAGGATGATGTTTCATGGACATAATTTAGGAGTACTTTTGAAACAGTCAAATGTGATAGTTCTGTTCCTCTTTTGAAGTGCATTATTTTTACACTATTGGATGTGGTTTATTTTGCAGTGGATTTAGAATGTTTTTAGCATTGAAAATGAACAATGCCGTTTGTCTTCTCTATGTAATCTGTTTGTTATTTATTGAAATGTTTTAGTGACCCGTCCGTGGCACATATCTGTGGCATTCCTGAAGAATGGCCTATCACATAACTTATAGTAATCAAGAGACGAACATTCTATTGATTTTCTGTACTTCTATAAAACTACCAGAAACCAGTATTTTTTTTCCCTGAGTACAGAGGGGCCCAAAATATTATTCTGTCTGAAGTTCTATTTGATTTTTTTCCTATTATGAGCTGGCTCTTTTCAGCTACTTTTATTTATTTATGTAATATATGTATTAATTTTATTGGTACATTTTAGGTACACAATATGATGACATTCATCACTGGGAATTTTGTACCTTTATATGATATATCTTGGTTCTTATTTTCTTCCTCATTCCCCTGCCCTCCCTTCAACCCCTCTATCCCTCCCTATTTACGAAGACTTTGTTTCCATTTTTAAGAACAAAAAATGACTTTCTAGTGCCTAGGAGACATTGTAGGTATTAGGAAGGAGAGGCTCTCTTTTGGCATAAAGGGAGAGAAAATTCATTAAGCCTGTGAATGTAATACAGGCTGCCCTTCCCTATCCTGAAAGAGAAACTCTAATCTGTCACAATATTATGGTGGGCCCAGACCTACATTTCGACCCACATTAGGCCTCTTTTAATACAGTGCTATGGACTGTCATTCCCAGTTGACTGTACTATCCAGTATGGCAGCCACTAGCCACATGAAATATATAAAATTCATATTAATTAAAATTAAATACAATGCACATTCAGTCACAGTTCAAGGGCTCACTAGTTTCATGTAGCAAGTGACTACTGTGTTGATCAACATAGAGACAGGACATTGTTGTCATAGCAGGAAGGTTTATTGGGCAGGGATGGATTAGAAGAATCAGGATGAAATCTATATGCCATTCTAGTTTGGGAACTTCAACAGAGCAGCTGTTTAGGTAGTAGAAGCACGGTAAGCCCTTGTATGTTTGTAGAAGGGATACACATGCCCAGGGATTGAGTTGTAAGAATTATGCCCTCAAAAGTGGAAAATAATTTGGAATTAGAGATGGTGCTAATATTGGACATTTTTGTGTATGAAAATTCTATTTTGACTTTGTAACTTTTCAATTATTCTCAGCCTAATGAGTACCCTGGACATTTAGTCCCTTATTCTGTGCTCTGGTTGTTTATGTATGTGTTACCTGCTCTGCCTTCCTAAGTTGCTGTATGGTGTAGTAGTCCTATGGGGTGGGTGATTATGAGTTGTTCTGAACTATACCATTTCGAAGGAATCCTGACAGATTGTTAAATTACCTGCATATTCTTCTGAACTCTTTAAGTGTTAACAGTAATGACAGCTACTATTAATCAGTTTATTATGTGTCACTGCCAATTCTTTATGTGAATTGCTATTTTAAAGATTCTTGGGAGCTGGGGATTTAGCTCAGTGATTCTGCCGCCTGCCTTGCAAGCACAAGGACCCAAGTTCAATACTTGGTACCAAAAAAAAAAAAATTCTCACAATAGTCTTGTGAGGTAGGTGCCATAATTGTCCTTATTTTACAGATGAAAACTTTCAGGTACAGAGAGGTTAAATTAGATACTTCATATTATAGAGCTATGTAGAACCAGAATAGAACCACAGAATAACTGATTCAAGTGTTGTTGTTTTTTTTCAATTTTGTTATGAAATACTTAAAGTCATCATAACTAGATGATGTTTCCAACTCTTGAAACATTGATTCTCCAGAGGTATAGTACTTTTTAATGCAGATATAGAGATTTTTTTGTTGATGTTGTTTAAAACATTCCTCTTTCTCCAACTTTTTCTAGCTAGTTATTCTGATTATGGTCTTGGCTTTGAGTAAACCAGACTCACATAATTCATAGCCCTGTTGAATTCATTAAATCTTCTCTTGGATGCTGTTCACTCTATTGCCTGGCCTCTGGCTTCTTGCAGCTTTTTATATACTTCCCTAAACATGGTAAATGGATGTCCACTCCAATACTGCAGTATCCTTGTTTGTTTGTTTGTTTGTTTGTTTCTTTTTTTTTTCCTTTGTATTGGGAATCAAAATCAGACCTTGAGCTTTTGAGGCAGGCATATTGCCACTGAGCTAAATCCCTGGCTGTTACTGCAGTATCTTAAGCAGTGGGATCTATTACAGTGACAGACCTCACATTGTTGTCAAATAATTTTTTTTTTGTTTAGAACTCTTGCTCATCTCTTTTTTCTTACCATGAATACATTGAAGGTTTTTGGTAGCAGAATCTGGGCTGGCGTCTCTCTTTGGAAGATTCTTGCCAGTGTCTTCCTCTCCACAGTGCAGCATCTTTTCAACCTTTGTCCCTGTTGAGTTCTAATTTGAGTTTTAAGGAAGATAAAAGTATAAATATCTAACATATGATGATTTCCTTAAGCAGCTTACGCTTGTTTGGGACTTAGAAGCAGGATGGCAAAGGAAGATCCAAGTCATTTGTTCCTTTTTCCCTGTCTCATATGTGTTTTTAAATTATATATCAATTAATTTACAATAAATACGTTAGGTTAAGAAAGAAAACTATATCATTATATCATTTGGAAAGGAGAAAATCAAATCTTTCTTTGATAGCAGTTATTTCGGATTTCTATAAATGGAGAATATGACTCCTTCTAATAAATGTTTTCCCTCTCTGATGTGTTCTAAATAAACTTATGAATTATGTAAAATCAAAGAGGTGACTGATGATGTCTGTTTTCAGCAAAATCAATATGAATATTATTTTTGTCCTTCTCCAAGCCTGCAGCCATTTGCATGCCTCTCCACACAATTGTAATCTAGTCAGTGCTGGTTATATCTTTTACCCTCTCTTTAGGAAATGGATAGTTACTTTGGAAGAATAGTACAAGTGGGTGCATATACTCTCACACATGCCAGAGAGATGTTTCCCTCTTTAGCCCAGACAGTGTTATTTCGGGAGCTCCTTCTCTTTGAGTGGGTGAAGTCTTCCCTGATAAACCTCATAAGTTTAAGAGCAAAACTAGCCAAGAATGACTCTTGGGTATTGTATTACACATGTATAATGAGCAGCAAGGACTGCTGAGCCTTGTGAAGGGAACTCATTTTGCTGTTTCTCAGGAGGAGTCTCTTTAATGTCTCAACTCCCATGAGCCCTTCTGCTAATCGCTTCTGTGCATAATCCACCACCTTGGATTTCTCTGAAAAGTGTCCTGTTTTTGCATGTTTTTAAGAGACCTTATAGTAGGAAACCTAAGAGAAAGGCCTGCAGTACTTCCCTCAAGAGACTGTAATCTTTGTCCCCTGCTAGCAGCTCAGCTTCCACGTGCTGTCAGAAAAGGTCGTCTGACTCAGCTACTGAAGCTGCCTGTGACCAAAATAACCTATTTTCTTTGATTTTCTCTGTGCTATCCGCTTGTGCCATGGCTTGTGTTATAAGACAGAAAAGGTTACACAAATCTCCTTCAACCATTTTAGTTAATTTTAGCTTTTAATTGAAATAAGCCTATTCATTGTCATGAATTAAATAAAATTATTTGATCTAATTGCCCATGAAAAAACTGTATTATGTGATGTTTGATATACCCATGTATATGTGTAGCCTATGTGGTTTAGCAAACATAATAAATTGAACTTTAACGAACCCATCTAGTATAAGAATTAGAGCCTACTTCCTGTCTGGCTATAACCATTGTCAAGAAAATTATGATCAGTTCTTTTTCAAGAAAATTCTAGATTATGAAGCATGAGCACACAGAATATTATTTTCCAAAGTGGTATCCAAAAACTTTTTTTGTTTTCTCAAGCTTTGGGAACTGTGAGTGTCTTTGTTCTGATAGTGCTTGGCATATCCCATCTCTCATTAGGAGTTTAACTAAAGGAAAAAAATTTAAGGAGATATCTGCCATCTCACGAAGCTCACATGTATTATTTCTGGTTAGGGAAGAAAGGTTCAGATCAGAGTAAATGATATTATAAATTTTTGTTTTAAATATTTACCATGGATATTACGAACAGATACAACTATAAGCAGAAGGGTGTAATGAATCCTCCTGAGGATTACTAACCCATCTGTAACCCCATCTCCTTTGCTTCTTCCTTGACCTGTACTATCTTGAAACAAGTACCACGTAATATGTCTCAGAGGTATTTTAAGGAAAGTATACTGATTCTTAGAAATGTGAGTGTGCCAGGGATTTTCCTACTTGGGAAAAATCCCTGGCACTAGGGAGCTTTCATCTTGATGGTCAAGATATATAATAAATAGAATAAATAAATAAAATATAGAGTATAATAGATCATTGTGAAAGTTAAAGGAAAAATAAAGTATGGGAAAGGAACGAAGTGTCAGTGAAAGAAAGTGAGATTTTAGGTATGGTGTTAGTAAGAGTTTCAATGAGATGACTTCTGAGTAAAGAACTCAAAATAAGGAAGGTAGATTTTCAGCTGAGGGGGAGCCTTCTGTGAGGAGGTGTAGCAGGTGCAGAGGCAGGAGCATTCCCATTAGTTTGCAGAATAGGGGTGACAGACTTTCCTCTCCAAGGCTAGGTGGTAGGCTGCATAGTCTTTCATGAGAGTGACTTTCTCTTTGTTTTTGGTACTGGGATCGAACTTAGGACCTTGTGCTTGTGAGGCAGGTGCGGAGCTAAATCCCTGGCAAGAGTAACTTTCTTCAGAATAATGGTAATATCTTTTCAAAGCTATGCAAAATATGATTTTCATTTTGGGTGTATTTTATAATCGTTTTCAAGTCATTATTATGTCATTCTATGATTTGGAGATGGTGTGTCCCCTGAAGTTTCATGTGCTAGAAGTTTGGTCCCCACTTCTGTGGCATTAAGAGATAGTGGAAGATTATGTCATGGTGGGCACTACTTTTGGAAGGGATTAGTGCTGAATAAGCCTGAGTGAGTTATCTAGTTTGTAGGTTGTTATAAAAAGGTTACCCAACGAGCATAGCTTCTTCTACACATGGATGTTTCCCTCTCTGCTTTTTTTGCCATATTATAATGTAGCTGATGGTGGCCCTCCCAGAGTGAGAATAGATGGGACTTTTTCTTGGACTTTCAGCCACCAAAACTCTCAGCAAAATAAACTTCTTTTCTTTATAAGGTACAAACCCTAAGGTATTTTCTTATGGCAAGAGAAAACAGACTCATACATAAATCTGACATTAAAGTTCTAGGTGAGTGGACAATGTGATTTTGAGATTACAGCGTCATGGCTTTTGTGACTTTTTTGCCCAATTTGAAGAACTTTAGATTGATAATGCCTCATGAATTATCTTAGCAGAAGTGTTTAAATTCGTTGGTATTTCATTCTACAATAGGATGTCTGAACACAGTGGATTTTAACCAGGCAATTTAATCACTTCAGTGGATCCTATGAATATTTAATCTCTACCAAGCAGGCCAATTAACGTATCAGTGTCTTAGAGACTTTGGGTATCTTGCTTCATGCTTTAGAGAAAATGAAATGTCTAAGGGATAAACACAATTCCTATCCTCTTAATTTTCTTTTATTCTTATTTTTTAGATTGCTAATGCCTTGGTAGAGTTTCTAAAGCACTGGGACTCAAAAGTGTTTTCAAGAGACATAAAAGAAAAAAAAATGGTTATAAATAAGAAAAAATAAAGCTTGTATCTGTGTCAGACAAATAGTTCTAATCATGCTGAAAAATTTCATCAGACAGATCTGTTTCAGGTATTCACATCATATGTACACAGGCAACTGTTGCTCACACCTATGTGGAATTCATTCACAAAAGGCATCTCTGATTGACATATGGAGACATGATATTTATGAGAACTTGGCTGAAGCGTCAAATTTAACATTTACTATTTGAAACTTAAAATGTTAAATCCCACTTGTTACACTTTAGTATTAACCTGGTAGAGCTCTGTACTTCAGTTGGTTAACTAGAAGAATGAGGCCAACGTGAAACAGTTTATTCTACTCCTATTGCATCCACCTACATGAGCCAGTTGAGTTAACACTCAAAATAAATTCTTTTTAAAAGATGAGGACCATTAGATTCATTCATATGGAAATGGATACATATTGAGGATATACTCCTAAGTGAAGTAAATAAGTCATACATGTGTAAATACTGAATAATTTCTCTGGTGTGAAAAACTATAATAGTACAAAAGATCCTAATGAGTGAATTGACAGTGTGAAATAGGAAGAAAGGGTCTAAAGGTGTAGGGAAAATGGGAAAGGTACGGGAAAGGTAATAAGGGAAAAGAAAAAATATGAGAAAATGAAAAAATTAAAATAAAGTGTTTGTAAATGGGGAGGGGAGGAGGGTGTGAGGGGAGGGCAGGGACAAGGGGAAAAAATGAGAACCAAGACCTGTCATGTAAAGGTATAAGATCTCAATAATGAATGTAACTGTACTGTCTATCTAAAATATACCAATAAAGTCAATGAGAAAAATAAAATAAAATAAAAGATGAGGACCAGGCATGGTGTCATATAATCCCAGCACTTGAGAGGCCGAGGCAGGAGGGCTTCTGTGAGTTTGAGGCTAGCCTGGGCTAGAGGAGGAAGTACAGAATAGAAAGATATTTGATATATATATATACAGAAGGAACTCCCTTTTCCTATTAATCCCTTCAAAAACTTCGAAGACTCCTGATCCTAAGACAGAATATTCTTGTCTTCCTAAGTGTTAACTTTTGGGGTCAATATGAATATTATATGGGATTGCTTTTTAGATCTGTTAAATTATACAGTATCTTTAATTTATATATGCTTTTACTACAGTTTTTAGTTGTAAGTTTTTACTCATGCTTTGGTACTTCATTTGTTTTATTGAATATTGAATCATTCCAAAAGATATCTGTAAATTTATGCTACAAATTTAGCCAAACAAAATACTTTGACAGAAAACATGCTAATATTTCATATTAACATAGCTACACTAAATGAACTGTTTGGGACTCATTGTTTCAAAGTACTAAAGTATTTAAAGATGATTCATTTCCTTGAGTTTTCATGAAATGTTAGATTGGTCTGAAAATATCTGGATGCTAATGAAGATATATTTTAGTTGAGCAATTTGGTGAAATAACCTTATAGATACAGAATTTCTGTTATGCTAATAAATATAAAAAATATGAAGTTGGTGAATGCCCAGTATTTGCTTACCTGCATTTGTTTTGGTGTCCTCTTGTAGATACTAAATGTAATTTTTAGCCTATTGGCCATATTCATCCAGAAGAACAGCACGATAGAAATATAGTTCATTGATGATAAAAATATATTAAACAAAGTGCTAATCTTGACATTTTATTTCTTGTTGCTTGGTAACAATGCTGCAACTTCACAAGAGAGTTCCATTATCTCAGGTACAATAGACTTCATTGCATTGTGGGGTAGAAACACCAATTACAGCCAGTCATTTGTATGCCATTATCCTCTCAAAATTTTGGTGCTATTTCTTATGAGCACAGAGATCCTAAAAGAAAAAGTCATTTTAATAATATATCCCTCTTTTTGATGGATTGATGATTTTAATTCTAGCTGTTTTTAGATTTTTGATTTTGTGCCTATTTATAATTTTTGAAGCTTCACAAATTTGTGTTTTAGCAACCTGCACTATATAAATCCAGGCTTTTAAATGCCATTATAACTGTGCACATTTTAAGTGATGCTTCATTAGTTCTACTGAGCATCTTTTATCCTTACCACCTAGAGAAGGAGAAAAAATATCTGGGCAGAATTTTTTGACTTATAAAAAAAACCGAGGCTTATTTCTTGTCATTCTCAATGTATGATGTTCTAATTTTAGTACCTACTTCAGTAAATCAGGAGAAGGAATCCTGTTGAACTGTGATTAATTTTAAGTAAAAACTTAAACTTGATTTGCATTGTAGATAACTATATTTTTCTCTATACTATTAGTTCATAATTATTATTATTTACAATAGAGGTAATCCAGTATGTAGCCTGTTATTGTACTACCTAAGAACTAAAAAATATTTTTTGAGTGTATACTGGGGATTGAATTTGGAACCTTGTGCTTGCCAAGCAGGCACAGTGCCACTGAGCTACATCCCTGGCCCCTAAAAATATTTTTATATTCATCAAAAGGTTGATAAAAAGAAAGAAAAGTGTGTGACAGCAACAGTGTAGAGCCTGCAAATTCTGGATTATTAACTGGCCCTTTATAGAAAAATGTTTGCAAATTGTTGTTTTACAGTAAAATTTCCCCTTCTGTAGTCTGAGTATATTAAATGTTGTTCAGTATTTTTTCTTTTCTATAAAATTTTGTAAAATAATTTTATTGGAATAATTTTGATATACATAATGATCACATTCATCATAGGGAATTTGTATCTGTACGTGATATATCTTGGTTCATCTTTTTTTTCCCCATTCCCCTTCCTTCCCTTCAACCTGTCTTCACCTCCTTATTTACAAAAGCTTTGTTTCCATTTTTTCCTTCTGTTTTTAAAATTTCCTTTTCCCTTCCACCTCCTCCCTCCCTTATTCTCCTTCCCATTTGAATATTTTCTTCCTACTTCCCAACATCTATCATCCATTTTTGTCCTTACGCTTTTGATTTCTCACATATGAGAAACAATGGGATATTTAAACATATGTATCTGATTTATTTCACCTAAAATATTTCTCTTAAATAGTCAATTTAATTGAAATAAAACAATGATACATAGTTTGAAGAGAATCTGTGTAGTATTAAACAGAAAAATAGGAATTTGTGTAGATGTAACAAAATGACTATACAATTTGTTATACCCACTTTTGAGGTAACACTGAGGAGAGGATTATATGTAGCAATGTTTTAAAAAAAATCTAGCTCAGTTGTTACAATCTCTTTAAGATCTCAGTGCCAGTAAATCTAGCTGTCAGTAAATCTCACTTGAATATGGTGTAATTACAGATTGGTCTATTTTTTTAGGAGCATCTTGCTTTTTCTTTTGTATTTGACTTGCCTCATACTCAAGTATAAGTTCCTTGAATATACAGATGCTCAGCCAGGCAAGTGTTACTACCTGAGTCAGTGGGGTGGGGATTCTCCAGCCTGACTTGTGACCAATATCGGACTAGCGTTTTTCTGGAAGCTGAGGAAATAATTTAGTGTTGAAATCACCCTGCTTCCCTAGGGCTTGGAAAGGCCCCACAGGTGAAGTGTATTCTAGTGACAAAAGTCAGTTGTGTTAGTTAGCTTCACTTAGGTCCTATTTCCTGGAAGTGGAGGGCTCCAAGAACTCCATATTTGAGTGCCATTTCCATCATAGCATGCTTATGTTTGCACAATGCTTTCTGCTTTTCAAAGCACTTTCACATAGAGCATCTCATTTGATCCTCTTAATTACTAAGTGAGGTCAGAGAAGAAGCAACTCTGTTATAATATTACAAATGAGAAATCTGAGATATGGATAATTTTCTTGGAATAGATCACTAGGAAGTTGAATGCCTTAAAGTGAAAAGGACACCTGAAAGGCTTGGTTTAAGTCCTGACTTTCCATCTTTCTTCACTTGCTAGGTGCTATAACTGTTGAAGCATAATTATTTTCATTAAGTTTATTGATACTTTTTAGGTATATACTACAGTTACATTCATCATTGGGATCTTGTACCTTTACATGATGTACTTGGTTCTTATTTTTTCCCCATTCCTCTGCCCTCCCTTCAACTCCTCCACCCTTCCCTATTTACAAAGATTTTGTTTCTATTTTTTCCTTTTCTCATATTTTTTCTTTTCCCTTCTTTCCTTTCGCCTACCCTTCCCACTTTCACTACTCCTTTAGCCCTTTTCTTCCTATTTCACACTATCAATTGTACAATTTGAAACTTTTTTACACTTACAGTTTTTCACACCAGAGAAACTATTTATTGAGGCTTAATTCTGGGTTACCAGTGAGAAGTATAAAACCCTGAAACTGTAGGTAGGTGGGTGTATGGGCTTTTGTACGAATCTTTGGTCATAGTTCTAGCTTAAGTGCTTTGTATAGAATGCATTTCACAGAGGTGAGAGGAAAGGAAAGGTGATACATAAGGAGACTCTTGTGATCCATGGCTTGAATTTGAATGGAGTGGAGATGGGCAGAGAGATAGGAAGTTTTTGAAGAGGAAGCCATCTGGGTTGTTGGTGCCTTGGATATAGAGTGCTGGGAGCAAGAAAAGCTGGAGATGTAAACAACTCCTACACCTGACTCGGGAAATGATGTGACGCTTACTGAGATGAGGAAACCTGGAAGGGGTACATATTTCATGGGAGATGTAGAAAGAATTCAAGGATCCTTGGCTTATGTGGTGATACTGCATATGCAGATGAACATGGAATGCGGTGTTCAGAGAGGAGATATACACAAGAATTATATAATTGGGAAGAACCTGCATGTATTTGTTAATTTAGATTATGGAATGGAAAAGACCACTTAGGGAAAATAAGTCATTGGACTGGGCCTGAGGCATCTCCCTTCCCTCCCTCCTACTCCCTCCCTTCCACAAAATGCGAGATTAAGAATCTCTCTAGCTTTGTGATCCTGGATGAATAATTTGAGAACTCCAGCTTCTTTATAGCATCTCCTGTTGCTATACTTGCCTAATTCATAGGTCTGTTTTGAGCATAGGATAATGCATTGATGCTTTCAAAAGCTTCAGGGTTCTATAGTCTCATTTTGATCTCTCTCTGCCGCTTTGGTTAATAAACCTCAGGTGACTGCTGTTGTTTTCACTGACCCAGAGATGACGACTGTTGAACTATGCTATGAATAGCAACTGGCAATGCACACTTATGTCTCTTTTCCCTGTCTTCCAGGATCCTCAAGCTCTAATGCAATGAAAATTCCACAATGCCTCTGGTTTAAAAAAAAAATGAACCTAAATTATGTTTTAAAAATATTATTGCTGGATGTGGTGGCACATGCCTGTAGTCCTAGCTACCGGGGGCTCTAAGGCAGGAAAATCACGAGCTTGAGGCCAGCTTAGTCTTCATAACTTAGGTAATATTTAAAGTCCATCAGAATCAAGTCAGATGTGTTGATACATTAAAAACTGCAGTGACTTTTAAAAGGAGTATGATAGATACTTTGAAGAAAGAAAGGTTCTTATAAATCTGTCATTTCATTAGCCGGAGTTGCACACATCTAGAAATTGATGAGCTCTCTCTGCCTTCACATTTTAAATGGAGCATTAGTCAGTGATATCTTTTATCTCTTTGTGTATTATTGTTCAGAAGATTGAGATATTCTGGTTTGGTATGAAAGTTAAAGTTTGTTCCCCGGTAAAACTTGCTTATGGCATTCTGGGAAGTTACCAGAAAACTGATAGATTGCAATAGCATGGCAAACTCAAGCCACACAGAATATATTGGGATATAAGACCTGTCACCTCTTTTGATTTCCCCCAAAATAAAGCACACTGCAGCCTGGCAGCAAATTTTGCTGGCACACACAGGTACAAGTAACCAGAAAACTGCTTCTTCCCAGTGGGCTGCCATTTTTTTTCTTTTTCTTTTTTATCATGTGCCATAGTAGCTGACTAGACCCTCTGGTAACAAGATTAGGGACTGCAGTGGCTGTGGTGAAGGTAGTGAGTGGAACAGTACCACTTCTCCTGCCCTGCTTCCAGCGGTGTGAGAGAGGAGAGGGATGCAGGACTTCAGCAGCTTTGGGCTACAGTGGGCAATGAGTGGGAAGTCTGCACTTCCCCTACCCTGCCTGCTCCCACTGGTGCAGAGAGGAGAGAGCAGAGGGATGCAAGCAGCATTTGGCTGTTAGGGGCAGTGAGTCGGCCAGCAGCACTTTCCCCATCTTGCTCCCAGCTGGGTCAGAGAGGAGAGAGATATGCCAGTGGAGTGGAATAGAAGAGGCTGTACAAGGGCCTAGAGGGTCTAACTATACACGGTACTGACAGCAGCCCCAGGCTCTCACTGCCTAAGGATACCACACCAGCTGGGTGCAGAGACGAACAAAAGGGGTAAGAGACCTGGGCAGGCCACTGAGGGACATTTAGAAAGTTGCTGGCTGAAGAGTCTGGCCCTGCCCCAATATCTACAGGCCAAGATCAGCCCCACACCCAGCATTCACCATACTGCAGACTTGGTGGGGTTACCCAGCATGGATGTGGGCTTTGACTTGGACACTACCACAAAACTGTGAGCACCAGAGGAATTTTTTTGTTTGCTGTTTTGTTTTCCTTTTGGGTTTTTTTTGGTTACTCAGGTCTTTACTTTGTTTTATCTTTTTCATTTTTCCTCAACTGTCTTTCTTGATTTCTTGATAATTTTCACTAGTCTTTGGTTCACTTTGATATTCTTTTGCTTTGTTTTCTATCCCATCCTCTCCCCCAGTTTCCCAAAGCTTGGGTGATCATCTTTTGTTCTTCAGCCTTACTTCTACTATATTTCTCTTCATTTATCTATTTTCCCCTGTCCCTCTTAAACCCCTTCCCCAAGATAAAATCACTCTACTGAGGGGAAACTCGCTGCATACAAGTTCCTGGTTTATGCTGAATTTTGTTGTATAATTGTAGGTCTTGCTCTTATGGTTAAAGGCACCAAATTGATAGTTACCACAGTTTGTTAGTTTCTAGGCTGTGCTTAATGTAAATAACAAACTCTGAGAGATAATTAGGGAAATAACAACTTTCGTAATAGCATCCAAAAAAGATGAAATACCTAGGATTCAATCTAATAAAGGAAGTAAAAGACCTTTACATTGAAAACTACAGTGCTCTGAAAAAGGAGATCAGAGAGGATATCAGAAAATGGAAAGATATCTCTTGCTCTTGAGTAGAAAGAACCAACATAGTGAAAATGGCCACACTCCTAATATTTATATATAGATGTAATGCAATCTCGATCAAAATATCAAGAGCATACCTCATAGAATTAGAGAAAACGATCCTAAAATTCTTTTGGAACCAGAAGAGACCTAGAACGGCAATTAATTACAATTCTGGGCAACAAAGGCAAGACAAGGGGCATCACAATCTCTGACTTGAAATTATACTACAAATCCTGCACTTCTTTGTGTAGAAATTCAGATCCCATAAGAGCACAGGTCAGGACCACAGAATTGTATTTTATTTCAGGAGAGCTTCTCTTACCTGCTAAAAGTCTGTGTAAAATCCATACAAGCTTAGCACTTTCTAGATCTTTCTGAGCTGTGCCCAATTCTAAAGCTGTTATTAATGCCAAAGCAACAGGGGCTTCATTCGGCATTATTACATGTTCATTAGTTACCATGGTAACTAGATGCTTGATGTTACCTCTCTGTACAGTGGCTTTAATTACATCCTTATGTGTCCAGGTATGCTGCTGAACTATTTACAATAGTTATAATAGGGAACCAACTTTTGATTTACTGTGTCGTATGAGGGCAGAGAGCAGTCTTTTTGACTCTCCCATCACACCAGCATGATCTTTCAGATTTAAGAAACTTTAAGCATTTCATATTTAAGAAACTTTAAAACTGTCTCTGTGACCCCAGCTGAGAACATTTTGCTTTATTTACAACTGGAATGCTCAGATTCTAGATGTTGTATCCAAACTTCGTAGTCATGAGAACCAAAGTGTCACCCAAAAGGCCTCTATCACAGAGCAGAGACTTACAGTGGAAAGCTGAGAACTGCCCTTCCTGACACACAATTCTTCCCAGCTCTTACTCCTTCTGACTGCCATCCAGCTGCCTCCTCCATGCCATTCTCTTAACAAATCATTTGTGCATGCGTGTAATGTTCCAATATCAACTGAAGAACTGCTGTAGATACTTGCCTAATAAGATTTCTAAACGCATAGTTTGTATGAACATAAGTGTCTACCTGTAACTGTTCTCTTGTACTCCTGTTGCTTGAGCTACATTAAGTAGAATGTGCATGTTGTAGTCCTATGATGGCATAAACTTGATACTACGTAATGACTTGCTCCTCACATGGTAAACTACTTAAACAATGTACTGGTGAATTAAAACAGAATGTAGCAGGATCTAACTGTCTAGGGTTACTTAAACATGAAGTTGAATAGTAAAATTAACTCCATTTTTGGTGCTTGGGAAGCACAGTGACCAAAAAAAAAAAAAAAAATTTCTGCTCATTCATTAGTCTTGCCTACTAATATCAAGGCCATGGTGCCTAGCATTAAATGAAATTCCATCGCTCCTAGTCTTTATCCTATGGTTTCTCCTTTTTCCTAAGTTTATAAACTATTGAAACTGCCACAAACTTGGCAAGACTTCATGAGGTTTCTGATTCTATATTTAATTGACAAGTTATCAGTAGCCCAATGTTGAAAACATTTGTAGTTTTCAATGTGATTAGAACTAAGGGGTTAAAGAATCTCTATCATACTAAAGTGTTTGGGGTTTTCCCTATATTTTAGATTCTGATATATGTGTAATTTCACCTCAGAACTTCCTCCATCTATTAATCAGCATTCTCCAGCACTTATCTCTAAAAGTCATTTGGGGGCCGGAGATTTAGCTCAGCGGTTCGGTGGCCTGCCTTGCAAGCGCAAGGACCCAAGTTCAATACCCGGTACCAAAAAAAAGTCATTTGGCATTTGTTTCTAACAGTATAGTTATTAATTGGGAAATGGATTTTTTATTTTTATCATTCAGATCGAAAGCAAGAAATTTCATCTTTCATAATCTGTATCTTACATTAGTAGGACATAGGAGGAAAGATGAAGAAATAAGCTTGCCAGTATTAAAGAAGGAAAGGCAGATTATAAAAGCCATAGTAGCCAGTGCTGTATATTCTGCAGACAGCCTCATATCAATCACTGTTGGAGTTTCTCACCCACACTTTCCCACTGAGAATTGCACTAATCTTACAGACTAGAAGAAAGCCAAGACTTGAAATTAAAAGAGCTCCCATTGGTCAAATACAGTGTCCCCCTCACTGCCACTACCACCACAAAATGGGTTTTTAGAGCTTTGAACAGTCCTTGTAAATTGATCAAACATCCCTGGGACCCACCTGTGTTCCCCCGAGCACCCAAGGAGAGCTGTGTTCCAGAAGGACTAAAGAGGAGTAGAATGGGCCACCATGGAGGCACCAGGTCCCCTTTCTCTCCAGCATGAGATCCCACACATCATGCCATGAGGTGATCTCAGTTGGAATTTTGACTGTAAAATAGATAAATGAAGGCAGTTAAAAGCCAGTTTTTTGACTGTTACCTTTGATGTACAAATACAGGACTATTGTGAGTACTTGAGCTATTCTTACTGTGAGAATGATTTTGTTTATTGTCCTTCTCCTGGGCTGGAGTGTGGACTATATTTTCTTAAGTTTTGAAAGGCATCTGTAATGTTGCTTAATAGAGTGTCCATATTAATAATTTAATAGATAGTATATTAAACTAAAAAAAAAGAATTATACTACAAAGCTACTGTGATAAAAACAGCATGGTACTGGAAAAAAAAAGACCTGAGGATCAGCGGAACACATTAGAAAATGCAGAAACAACTCCAAACACAAAGCTACCTTATCTTCCACAAAGGGGCCAAATACTTTGGAAGAAAGCCCCTTTAAAAAATGGTGCTAGAAAAACTGGCTTTCTACATGTTAAAGATTAAAACTAGACCCATGTCTCTCACTATGCACTAAAATGAACGAAAATCAAAATGAATCAAAAGTCTAAATGTTAAAACAGTAACAGTAAATCTGCTGGAAGAGAGAATAGGTAGAGCTCTTGAAGACACAGGTGTAGGCAAAGACTTTATGAACAAGATCCTAATCAAGTGGGAAATATTACAAAGAATCTATAATCAGTATCTCATCTTATTAAAAAGCTTTTACACAGCAAAAGAAATCACTAACAGAATAAATCCAAAAATTGCCATGAGAAATGAAACAGACTTCTTAAGTAAATATAATTGGTAAATAAATATATGAAAAAATGTTCAGCAACACTGTTCATTCAAGAAATACAAATTAAGACAATGCTGAGATCTATCTAATTTCAGAAAGAATGGCTATTATCAAGAAATCAACCAATAACAAATGCTGGTGGGGCTGTGGGGAAAGGAATGCTTTTTCACTATTGGTGGAGTGTATACTGGTACAGCCCCTGTAGAAATCAGTGTGGAGATTCCTCAAAAAATAAAACTAAAGTTTCTATTTGACTCACCTATTTTCTTTCTTGGTATCTTCCCACCCGAAATAATTAAAAGCATCATACCACAGTGATATATACACACCCATATTTATAGCAGCACAGTTTGTAATAGCTAAATTTTGGAAACAACCCAAAGGCCCATCAACTGAAGATGTGTGTGTGTGTGTGTGTGTGTGTGTGTGTGTGTATTTTCTTTTAATACAATGGGTCACTCCTCTGCCATAAAGGAGAATAAACCTGAGACATTTATAGGTAAAGGGATGGACCTTTAGACCATACTCTTAAATGAAATAAATTGGACACACATATGTAAGTATTGCATTGTTTCTCTGTGAGAAACTGAAAGTGTAAATAAGGACCAAAATATATAATAGACATTGTGAAATAAGAAGATAATGTTCAAATAGGAAGGGGAACTAGGGAAGAGGGAGGGGAAATGAAAAAAAATGAGAAAAGAGAAAAAAACTGGAAACGAAGCTTTTGTAAATAAGGAAGAGAAGAGGGGTTGAAGGGGAGAAATAAGAAAAAAAGAAAAACCAAGATATATCATGTACAGGTACAAATTCCCTATGGTGCATATGATCATTATGTATCTCTAAAATCTACTATATGTCATTAATTTTTAAAAATCTTATGCTTAATATCCATCTTGAATTTCTTTGCATGTCAGTAGCTATCTGTTATTCTTTCTGGGACAAGAGTAACAAATGCATAAAGAAAGCCTAAGATATTCATTGATGATTTATGTTTAACCATAGGACACCATTTCCTGCACATGTCAGAGGGACTATAGTTTCAAAAACTTATTTTCCATGTGTCCTTTGGATGTTAATATAAATAAATTATACATAAGGAAGTAGGTATGTTTTCACTACATCCTTATGAAAATTTTGCTTTGTTGAAGTTTCACAGAATCATGAAATTTCTGTTTTGCATGAAATTGTTGAATATAGGAGAAATAATGAACAACTAAAAAGCAAGAATTATTTATTATCGGAACATAATGGTTTTCAGCTTTTGGTTCATTCCTTGAAGAAATCAAGACCATTCATGGCCAAGAATATAGCTCACCTTCTCTCTGACTGAGATTTTGAAGTTAAATGGTGGTGTATTGTACTTTTGTCACTTAGTAACTATGTCCACATTCAGAAACTTTGAAGAGAAGTCTAAACCCAATGCCATGAAAGAGAAATAAAACATTAATGTAAAGACTCATACTATTTTTTTCTATACTTTTTGTGAAAAGGAGAGGGTCATTCATTTAAGAATCTATTTTAGTTTCTTTAATAATTGAAGGACAGCATATGAGTTTTGCTTTGTATTGTGAAAAAGTTCTGTTAAGTTTAGAATTTCATTTCAATTTTTGGAAAAGCTTTACTGGCACAGACAAATTCAGGGAAGAAATATTCAACATCTCCAAATCCAGTTCAATATGGGTTGACTATAAAAACCTACAGGATTAAGGCTGTTAAAAGTTTGAAAGTTTTGGTATAATCTAAATTTTTCTGTTTGAGAAATTTACTAAGTTCATTCATTTTGAGAATTGATTCTTTCAATCAAGACTTTAAAAATTAAAAAATGTACTTAATAGAACTTTAAAGGCAGTTCTATAATGCAGTTCCTGCTATAAAAAGAAATATTTTAATTGCTATTTTATTTATAGTGTTTTTCCCCAGTGATTTTGACATCAAAATATATTCGTACTCAAAAATTTTTCATTTATTTTCTTCCTTTGTTGCTCGTATTTTTAATGCATAGGATGACATTTTATGTGCAAACTGCTGAGGACTAAGTTTTATAAGGAAATAGAAAATGAAATAGAAAACATTTTTTAAATGAAATTGATTCCCAGGACGTAGGAGGGTTAGTAAAATGGTCCAAATATATTATCTATAGCCAAGATATGCATGCACAGAGTGTGGTAGATTTTAAAACTGAAATATTTTCAGTAATAAAGCAGGTAAAGGAATTATAGCCTAATAATAACAAAAATAAAATAGCAAAAATAGCAACAAGTACTATATATACCATGTTCTTATGTGCAAAGCACTTTAAATCATCATTATAATAACCCAGTGAAGTGGGTTT